TGTTAATTTCACATGATCCTAATTTGTGTTTCTAACAAGATATCCATATCCGTTGATTGTTGCTTTACACATGATACAATATTTCCAGCCTTATTTATTACGTGCGAACTGAAAATATAGTCTCTATTATGTGCAATATGGCCATCGGAGCACGAAAAATCAGAAAATAATGAATATTGATGAGATATCATAACTTAATTTCATTTCTTACATGTACACCATTGGTCAAAATTTTAGTATTTACCAATAATAAAGTGTTCTATTGCTAGAAAAGCCCAACCAACCCTTTCATTTTATGTGTGTGGGTGTGTTTTTGCTACTGCTACCTACTAATACTTTGTTTGCACGACATGTTTTTCACTTGTTTGATCCCATTTGTGTTTATACAGAATCCAAACAAGTAATGGTCTTGAGCCTTTGCAACGGCGTTGGAGCTTCAACTACACACACATGGATAACTCTTTCAGGTAGTGTGGCTGATGATGTCTACGGTTTGAGATTGACGAATCTTCATGTGGTGAAGTTGCAAGGCTTAAAGTTGCCATAGAGACTATCAAAAGAGAAATTTCTCACGTGTTCCTTTAATGGTGTGCTATATTAGCAATTTATTACATTTATTTACCATTGGCCTTTAATGGTGTGCTATATTAGCAATTTATTACATTTATTTACCATTGGAATGATCATTTATGTTTGACATATTATATTTTATGCAATGGATTATCCTTTATTGTGTATGGTATTTTAGTTTGTATTATGAGACATTAAATGTATAATTTAATTTGAAAATTAGTAAATCTATTAAAAAAATATTTTTTTGTTAAATCATAAAATTATTACACGCAAAAATGTTTGTCATCTTCCTTTAGGACATGGACTTTAATGACCCACAACATGTGTCGTAATACCTGTCGTAAGCTTATGACACGTTAATGCATGTCGTCTTCTTTTATGTAAGGGTTTTATTGACACACATTTGCATGTCATCTGTATCCCTTTATGACACGCAATGTGTGTCATTAAGGAGCTGTTTTCTAATAGTGAGCTTGGGATAAAGATATTGCCAATGAAGCCATCGATCTCTGTCGAAGCGTGAAATCGAGAAGCAATACCAGTGAAGAAATCGATTTCTATAGAGATAAGATAATCATGGATGAAAAATAGGTATCACTGCCTAGTAAGGTTCGATGTCAAAGTAGGGAATCAATTGTTTGCTTTTTTTCTCTGTAGGCTTTTCTCTCTCCATTTCTTTATAACAAAACAAGAGAAATGAAAGAATGGAAATGGAATTAAATTATTTCATTTTCTGTTCTTTTTTAGTACTAACCAAACATGAGAAATGGAATACATTCCATTTCTTTGATCATAATTCTCTATACCAAACATATCCTTAGATTTCTTTAGCATTTTGGATTGACAAAAATTGAAATTCTTTAATTGGTGTTAAATTTTTTTTCTTCACTAAAACAGTCAAAAATGAGAATTGTCATATTCTATTAGAAATTATAAAAAATGAGCTTTATCAATACTTCGTTGGAAATTGTCACAAATAATATCCGTCTGTAATATGTTCCATGAGTATTGCATCAACAGAGTCACATAAACAAGTCTGTCGAAAATATATCCGTATTGACCGAGTGAACTTTCTACAAGAAATTGTTTTCATGCAACATCTTGAGGGTGGCACCGTCTTTCACCATTTAGTTGCAACTGTTTCAATACAGAAATGATAAAAATGCATTAATACAAATAGTAAATAGCTTAAACAGGCTTAAGATTGAATGTTTGATAAAGATTTAATGCTCTAATAAATCTACCAACTATCTGAAATCCCTCAACTTCATTTTTTCAGTTTCATTTACTTAAAAAATTAACTTGCACAACAACATCACTTGTTATGTCCAACGAAAATGCAACTTTAACTATTTAGCATGTAATTCTAAGAGCCATACAATATCCTTTTTGAAAGTGTTATCCTCTGAAAAAGACAAAAAAAAAAAGCACTTTGATCAGTTGGTGGATTATAAAGCTCCTAAAGTTGTGCGATAAAAACAATTGTTTCAAATCTTCTTTAGGGGATGAGAATAGAGTGCCAAGAATGAGATTATGTATTGACATGAATTTGTAATCAGAGATTAATTTACTGCTTTGTGGCAACTGTTATAATTAATACAAATATGCAATAAGTTAAAAAACATGTAAAGCCTAAAATAGTAATATATCATGCAAACAGACACAATTTATAGGAAATATAGAACTGACCTTTGTCAGGATTCCAAGAACAGCTAGGGAATAATGCAAGGCACTTCAAAAGTGGTTGATTGCTTCGCTATCATATATCTTCCCATCATCCGGGAGCTGCTTGAAACTAATTTCACCTCCATCAACAACATTTAAGATTTTGACATCAAGTTCAAACATATCAGATTGACTAAGTTGTGTCTTGTAATCAGCAGTTCCTGTGTTCTTATCAGTTTCATCAGCATCAGCAGCCATCATACTTAAATTGCCTGCCAATGGCAACAATGGGAAAGGTTATACACACACATATGTTTGTTTCCATTGGAATCGGGATGATGGATATGCAAAAACTAATAACGCCAGCAATTAAACAAGTTATTAATAAAACTACTCCGAACATACAATTAAAAACATAGTCATGATCACCTTCTTTTTCAAGTGAAATTCTCCTTTATCAACACCAAAAAAAGATAAAAGAAAGGAAAAGAAAGCATATGCAACATTAACTGAAAATACATATATCGTATGCAACTTGGAACTTTTGATTTACATCTTTTCAATATACATTCAAGTTGCAATTGTAGTACAAGAAACATAAAGCCTCATATGTAAAATTAGTGGCAACCAGATTCTACAAGATTCTTTTTGTTCATGCTAAGAAAAAAACAGAATTTAATGCAATATCAAGTATTACTTTCCAATTGTCTACAACTAGATACTACAAGTATTTCATTCAACATTAACCCGTTGGTGGACGCTAAAGCTCCTAAAGTTTTGAGCCGGATGACAATTGACAAGTGTTGCGATTTTCAGGGGATGAGAATAAAGTTCGCAGAAAGGAGATTACGTTGCATACTATGTGCATATGAGCTTGTAAACACTAAATTCTCAACCCTAAAAAGTTGCAACAATTCTTATATACATCGTTTCAATTAGATAAAAATCTAGCTCTACTTGTATCTTTGTAATTCTATTCTATTGAACTAGTAATCATCGCAATACTAGCGTGGAAAAAAAACTGACCTTTGTAGGGTTTCTTTGAAGGAGTAATAATGCAAGGAACTTGGATAGAAGCTTGAAACAGATTCTGGCTTGTGATCCCACCCCCCTGCATGAGCATTTGACAGGTAGTTGATTGCTATTCAGCATTATAATTTTTCCCATCATCATGATTTTCAGTATTATAACTTTCCCCATCATCAGAATTTTGGATATCATTATTTTCACCATCATCAGACAGCTCATCAAATGAATGAATAAGAAGCTGGTAACGAAGAATGCCACCAATCCCACCAAGACCTGTACAAAAATTTAACCCCTCTTGAGATCTGTTTGTGACAAACTCAAGCTTGCAGCCAAATCTTTTGTACTCATTAACAAACCACTCAATCAGAGACATATTTTCCTCAACTACAAGTTCAGCATCGCTGACTGAATCCCTAAAATTACTCTCATCAGTCTCCTGCACTTTGTTTAAATACTTTATACTAATTTCACCAGAGGCATTGTTTCTTAGAACATAGCGGTTAATTTCAAGATTTTCCCAAACAAGCAGTGTTTCCACAGCACCCATGTGTAAAGCTTCCAAAGTGTCATCAATACCTACGACGTACTTCCCCCTATCCTGATTTATCTCCTCAAAATACTTCCCAATCAAACGCTTCTCCTGAATGAACTTCACATTGGCAAGAATCTCAGAGGACAACTTAATAGCTTGATTGAAACCATTCTCACCCCCATAAGAGACATCGACAACATTCAAGATTTTCTCCTGAAGACGAGGGTCAAACAAATCAGATTGACTGAGCTCAGTCTTGAAATCAGCGCATCCAGCAAGTATAAGTCCAGAAACATTAGGCTGATTAGTAGCAGGATTGATATAAAACTGTGTTGCAAGCTCTGCTGTCTTCCTTACATAGTTGTGACGTTTCTCCATACGAATACGATCAAATCTCAAAGCTGATTGCCCTCCTCTTCCATGTTTCTTTGGCAACTCAACAATATACTTGTGTAGAACCTCCTTAGTATCGCCACTTACTGTCCCAAAGAGGGTACCATTACCATCCATAACAATGAAACCAAACTTGTCATCCGATTCCAACAGCTTCTTAAGAGCTTCTGTGTGGAATTTGTTGTCACAGAGATATAGAGATGAGTTTATAGGTTTGAAAGGCTCAAAGTCAAATGTAACTTTTTTCTCTTTCTCGTCACTTGTTACTATTGTTCCTGTGTAGAGCACGAGTCCATTAGGTGGTATCTTGTTGTAGAGCTTGAGCCTCTGCTGGGCAGATGTTATAGCACCTAACACAGATTGACGATTCACTCTGCTCTTAATGTTTGAAGCAGTTCCAAATTCATCACCAAGCATCTTGGTCACTCGAGAAATTTGATCACACGGAGGTATAATCAAAGATATCATGCTGGTTCCGTTGCCTCTTGCAGCTTCCAGTGCCTTTATAAGCTTCTTAATCTTCCATATCTCAACGTTGTTATCAGAGTCATCCGTTGCCATTGAACTTAGTTTGCCTTCCTGCCAATAGCAGTGAAAAATATAACAAATGGAGAAGACGCAATTGCCAAAAAGAATGTGGGGTGAAAGGTACCTTCGATGATGATGATGAACACTTCAATTTCAATTATTGCTTTTGAACACTTCAACTTCAAAGATGATTAATACTGTGATGCAGATGAACTATCAAAATCTATCAACGACTGCGATTTATAGAAATCGATAATCAGTCTATTTTAAGAAGATAATTGTGTTGTGATTTGGGCCGCGTTTGATGCCGATTTAGTTGCGATTTTGATAGACGATGCTTTAGGAATGGATAAAGTAGCAATCTTGATAGCTACCGAAGATTTTTCATGCGATTTTGATGGGTTCAAAACAAATCGATAGAGGCCAAAGATGTATCCTTCCATGAAGGAAGGAAAGCATCAGGGCGTCCAAACGTATATGGGGTCGGGGGCGAAAAGAAAAAAAAGGGCCCCTCAAAGACAAATATAATAAAGATTAAAAAAAAATATCATTTATTCTTCGGTTTAGACGTGTTCAATTAGCAATAACAAGCAAGCCAAATTGTTTATTTTTTGAGCTAATTTGAGTTTGAACCCACTTTACGCCCTAAAAATCATTTAGGTAATAACTTTTTTTATATATATACACTACATAGCCCATAAATTTTGGGCCCCCTGGAGACATGGGCCCTGGGCGGTCGCCCGGGTTGCCCACCGTCTGGACCGGCCCTAGAAAGCATTGACAGCAAAACAGGGTTGCGTTAAATATGTTATTTATATTATAAACATGCCTTTTTAAGGAGTATCATTCCTTTTTAAGGAATATCTTTTGTTATTGTTAGTAGACGTGTAGGTTACATTGTTACCCATCATTGTACAGCTCATATGGATATTTGTGTATCGGGCCTTAGGCCTGGTTTGTATTGTATTTAACTACATGTGTATCCGGCCTTAGGCCTCATTTGTATTGTATTTCACTATTTATTCCTTGTTATTGTAATTATTGAGTTGAATGAGGAAATACCAATTACCATGACAGAGAGATTCTCCCCAACCCCTTCCTAAAATCCATCTAATCTTCTTCGCAATCTCTCTCTTTTTCCAACCGTCTTCAGCTATTGCCACCTATCAAACCCTAATTGTCTGCGACACCGTCCTTGGCCAAAAGGTATACCCATCATCAAAACCTATGCCCCTCTTTTCCTCGACCTTGAACGTCTCAACTACGATGTGTGGCGTGATCTATTCACCACTTATTGTTTTGGATTTGACATCATTACGACATTGACAAGGCGCATGATGCTCCAAACACGGAACTTGCCGATCCGGCATGCAAACAAAGTTAACTCCATCATGAAGCTTTGGTTGTACGGTTCCATTTTACAATGTCTCCTACAAACCATTCTAGAAAAGGATGCCACAACTGAACATGTGTGGCTTAGCCTCGAGAAACTTTTATGGGATAACAAATAAGCGAATGAAGCACTTCGACTTGATTGCAATCTCCAATTGATTTCCATGGGAAACCTCTTCGTTCATGAGTATTGCATGAAGATCAAATGTCTAACCAATCTCCTTAAAGGTATTGATCAACTAATCCTCGACAAAAATCTCGTCATCAACACCATCAACAACCTATCAAGTAAGTTTGAGTATGTTGCGAGAACCATCCGACATCATTCCCATATTCCTTGTTATGAGACAAGATCGATGCTCCTCCTTGAGGAGCAAGACATGAATCAAACTAGGTTCGTTGTTCCATTTGTTCCGTCTCATCATGCTGACAAACTACTAGAAAACTTGGTGAATTCCTACGGAAATTAGTGACGGAATTTTTCCGTCGGAAATTAGTGACGGAATTCCGACGAAATTGCGACAAAGATAAAAAGCTTAATTTTTGTTATGAAATATTGACACAATACCGACGGAAATAACTTCCGTCGGAAATCTAGTAATTACTGACGGGATGTAAACGATATCAATGACTTGGGCAATCCATCGATATTCTGTAGGTAATCATTGACGGATATCCGACGGAAACTCTTTTTTAGAAAATAATATACATATTTACCAAAAATAATTCAATTACTATACTAATAATTAAACAATTCTTGATTTTATAATTAAAACAATAAATATTTACCAAATAATTCAATTCATTTATTAAGAATATATATTTTTGTTATTACTTATAATTAATAATAAAAATTAATTACCAACTTAAATGCTTTTTAAGAAAATAGTTTTAAAAAGTTATTAGTGTTATTATAAAAATAACTCAATTATTATGAATAATATTAATAGCTAAATAACTATTAACTTTTATAATTAAAATATTATAATTATTAACCAAATAATTCAATTCATCTAATTGTTATATTATTGTTATTATTACTTATAATTATTAAAAAAATTACCAAAAAATTGTTTTTTATAAAATAAATCAACTTTTTATTAGTATTATTATAAAAATAGTCAGAATTAGTAATTAAATATTTATTTTCTCTTTTGATTGAAATAATAGAATTATTGTTTTCCATAAATTGGTAATAATAATAATAACAATAATAATAATAATAATAATAATAATAATAATAAAGAGTTACAATAAGGAAAAACTGCAATAAAATCTCTACATATTGGTTTCATAATCGATTTAGACCCTATATATTTTTTTTATTCAATTAAGTCCCAAATACCGGTAATCGTATTCAATTTAACTCTTTGACCAGGTCAACAGGTGATCCAACTTTCAAAAATTACATTTTTGGCCCAGATTTCAAAATTTATTACAAATTTAGTCCAAAATTTACATTTTTGGCCCAAATTTTAAATTTTGTTACAAATTTGGTCCAAACATTACCCTTTTTGCCCAAATTTTATGTTTTATTATGAATTCATCCTAACTTTAGTTTTTTTTACAACTTATTTTTCTCAAAAAATTGTTTCTAATATGTTTTTTCTTTATAAAATCATATTTATACAAAAAAAAACGTATTTTCAC